CCCTTTCCTCTTTTTGGGTATTGTAATAAATATTGTTAACATATAATGCCAACTTAGAAACATAATATTGTTGTGATTATCCCTTGATATGAATTTGCAATAAGGGTGTGTGTATCTTGGTCTAAGGTTGATGCTGTGGGTTAAGTGTGTGTGCTTGGCCAAGTTACACTCATATGTGATATATTTAAAATGATTGATATGCCAAAATGAGCAAGTTGATATATGTGTTAGGTTTTATTCATCCCTTATATTGTTGTGAATTGGGGTTTTTATGGTCATTTTAAATGTGAATGCTTAATTACATGTTATGATTAAATTATCATGTTAATGTGTGGTCCATTTGAGGTAGTTAAAGTGTCTCTAGGGCTAATGGCAATCGACATTATGAGTTGGACACTTTTGTGTGTGTTTTGAAGTGAAAATGAACCATTTTGGGTTCAAGTATTCATCTTTTAAATAAACGATTGTTTGAGTGTGAGACCGATGGCAATAGCTAGAGGGCTCGAAAAGCTTTGTTTGGATACTTAAACCACCCAAATCGAACGTGGGATGGCGAAACGGTGCCTTCCGAAAGTTTGGAGACTGTCATGACAACAATCTGCTGTCATGACAGTAGGTGCGCATAGCAGTGCATGGTAGTTGCATCGCGGCACAAGCGGCCTTTAAAGGATTTGTCCCTCTGCGCCATCCACGGCAGTGGGCGCAGCTTGTGCCACGACTAACAGGCTAGAATTTTTACAAAAAGGCTTGTTTCAGCTTGTTTTAAAGTAATTTGATTTCCATGCTTCCATACTTATTTTTAATTATGGTTTGAGTTCAAACAATATTTTAAAAAGGGTTTTCTTGAGATCTCAATGTTTTAAACTAATTATCTTTTAAACCTTTGGGTTGTGATAACTTTATGGGATTTCATCTAATCTTAGTTATCACAACAGTGTGTATGAGTATTGTTTTGGTAATGTCGAGGTGGACATTACATTATCTAAGCTACTAGCTTTAAATTGAGGAGAAATGATAACATTTTTAATTATAAGAAAATTGTTAACCAATCATAGAGGAATGGGTAGGTGGGGCTAATTGACAATAAAATACATAAGCAAGCAATAATTAAAAATGATAGAATGGCTAGTTGAGAGAAAGAGGTCCACCCAATAATGCTCCCTCTGTGTGTGTGGTAGGGGGTTTATCATTAAACTCTGCATGACTTCTTCTCTATAAACATCCATAATTAAATTTAATATTTTAATAAAAATAAAGAAGAAGGGTAGAAAAGGATTGATTGAGTTATTTAAGGATATTAAAAAATATGATTGTTCATGGTGAACAACAAAAATATCAAGTGTGCTAGAGATGCTGAGTCTCAGATGATAACAAAGAGTCCTTGAGTTCTCTTATCATAATTTACCCAAATGTAAAAGATATAAAGGAATTGAAATAATAAGTATTTGATTAATAGAATTTGCAAATTACAAAGTTATAAAGGTTATAATGCTAAAGATAATGCTAGAGCTATCTAGAAATAAAAGTTAAAAGTGTAATGAACTTTGATGATTGATTGTTACTCGATCCTTTCTTTCTATGACTTTCTCTTTCTTTTATACTGGTTTAGCTGGGACGATTGGCTCTACAGAATTTGGAGCTCTTTTGTGAAGTATTGGGATTTAATAGGCATGGTGTAACAGCCCTCCTGGGTCACCACTGCCTCTCCAGGGTCTTTTCCCAGGCGCTGGACAACACACATATCACCACATGATTGCCGGCTTTACCACAGGTGGTACTGTGGCTATTCCTCACCCCACCCTCACGGGGGTCTTTTGGAACCTCCCCAGACTCGAACCTCCAACCTCTACCACCTTAACGAAGTTGAGGCGAAGTCTGGTACCATTGAGTCAGTGACTCAATGGTACCAGACTTCGCCTCAACTTCGTTAAGGTGGTAGAGGTTGGAGGTTCGAGTCTGGGGAGGTTCCAAAAGACCCCCGTGAGGGTGGGGTGAGGAATAGCCACAGTACCACCTGTGGTAAAGCCGGCAATCATGTGGTGATATGTGTGTTGTCCAGCGCCTGGGAAAAGACCCTGGAGAGGCAGTGGTGACCCAGGAGGGCTGTTACATAAAAAATTTATAACACACCAAATTTTTTTTTATAATTTAACTCAACCATAGTTGGGTTACAGCCACCCAACACATTTTTATATCAATAATTTCAATATAAAATATTTTATAATTGACTTCAACTTACACACTATAACATTTCAAATAAATTTTTACCTCCCACATGCCATTAGGCTAAATCACATTTGTCTATCCTTATACTTCCAACAAGTAAACTAAATCACATTTGTCCATCCTTATACTCCCAACAAGTAAAATAAGCAATTTAATAAATTTTTAACACAAGCCAGTTATTTGACCTTATAATCATGCCATTTTAACCAATCCAAAGTAAACCAAATATTAAAATTACAGTCATCCAAATTGTACCAAAAATAGAAATAGTTTGAAAGGTATGATTACTTTTATATATTTATATAATTGACAATAAACAAAAAGCCCTAATATTGGCAATATAACACATTATAAATCATAAATTAAATACCCAAAAGAGACAGTGGATCTATACCACTAAGCCTCTGGGACTCCTCCACGTGTCACTCGTGGCTCTTCTCCTGAAAATTGTTAACCACATAATGAGACTCAAAAGTCCCAGTAACCAAAGCCAATTTATGATAGTGTATACAAACAGTTAAGTGTGTGCTTACTAAGTGAGAATTAAAAATAATATAATTCCAACAATATATGAAATATTACAATACACACAAACAACTATCCTTATATCCCTCAATTAACCTCGAGCCGTAGCCCTCACTCGGTGCTAAATTACCCGGCCAAAGGTAGATTAGCCCGAGCCCTTACAAGCCACCTATTGAGCTCCAATAGGGGCGTACCACGTGGCACATAAATACAACAATAATAGCAAGTCTCCCAACACTTCCCACAATAATTAAACAAATTCATAATAATATTGCACAATTATACAATATTACAAAATTCATAATTTTCTCAATAATCACCCAATTAACATGAAGTAACACTAATCACAAATTAAAAGCATGGTTACCTTGTGGCTTTTTCAATAAATTATTCCTTAAAATTTCTCTCTCACCACAATCTTCACCAGTAATACAATCTACAAATAACATATTATTTATAAATATTAGTTTCAATTTTTGAAACTAATAAAATAATTCTAATAATAGAATTAAAAATATAACATAATTCCTAATCTCAATCTTAATACAAATCTATAGTTAATACTATTAAGTAAAATTTTTAACTCCTCTTTTAATTATCAATAAACATTAATAATCTAAAAATCAACTTCTAAACTAATTTCTATTATCAAAATTTTCTTTTTATTTCATAAATTCGTACCTAAAATATCTAAAAATTAAAAATTGAGTCTCTAGCTTAGAATCATAATCCTATAACCATAATAATTCATTTCTCATCCCAAATAATCATCTATACCTCAATAAATCAACATATATTTTCAGATCTAGTTTAGAATTTGATCCATAAGCCACAAATTCAAAGATCATCAACAAATTTATACTCTAGAACATTTATTATACTACTGACAACCTCAAAAACTATATTTATTCAACATAAATTCATCCCTCTTCCAGATTTTAAATTTTCTACCACTACAAACTCAGAAACTAAAGAAGAAGGATGACTAAGAAAAATTTTTAGAACACTTACTTAGTTTTAAAAAGCTTAAAATCACACCCTAAATATCCTATTAAAAACTCTTACCTTAAAAATTTAGATATTTTGCACCGGCAACTCGCTTCTCTCCGCCTCAACTCGCGCGCAGGAAAAGAATTGAAGAAATGAAAGGAAACGGGTGAGTTTTATAAAAATTCAGTGGGTCCCACACATTTTTTTTATTCTTTTCTCTCTCTTCTTTCTTTCTTTCTTTTTTTTATTATTATTATATGTAATGATGGAACGCGTAACGCCGAAAGCAAAACTCGTTTTTCTTCTTCTTCTTCCTTTCTTTTTTTTATTATAATAATAATTTAATAATATTTTTTTATTATTTTTTAATTAATTTTAATTTTTTTTAAATTAATTTTTTTTAAATTTTAATTTAGAATTATATCCTAAGTTAGATTTAATAATCATCTCCTACTAATTTGCTTACCTCTAAATATTTTTTTTAAAAATTTCTATTTACCAAAAATTAACTATTAAAAATTTAAATTGGGATGTTACACATGGCCCATGAGATTCGTGGCATGATCTTTCTATTTGTAACGTGTATAAACTATTGTTAACTGCCAGCTTGTGCCACCAAAACATCCACTAATAATGGCCATGACCTTGTGAGATTGGGGGTTTCTTGAGATCACGGTTTGGTGTGAGGCAATGGTCTAGATAAAGATTCTGAGTCTTAAGAGATTCATAGACCCGAATTGACTTACGTTATTTCATCATGATCTGTATTGGCCTTATTATTAGATTGCTTATTAGGTTTGACTTTTCAGTTATGCAGCTCATTTTTTGTTATACTAATGATAAACGATGTTTTAGTTTTAACCCAAACAATATTACATTTTAATTACTTTAAGGATAAAATTTTTATAAAGTAAATAGTTTAGCACACTTGATGCTTTTTGAAAAATAATTTAAGAGTAATAATGTACCTTAATTGAACTCCACCTTCCTAATATAACAGGTGATATTTTCTATTAGACTTAAGTTTTAATCAGTATTTAAATCGTACGTCAACATTGGGTTATGTTTTACTTATTTTATAAATGAAATTAATCTGACAAATATTTTAAAATACTAGATACTTTTTAAAAAAATAATTCAGACATGAAAATATACTTCAACAAATGAGAAGAAACTATCGAAGTTAAACCTTGAAGTCCACGCGTCTTGACCTGTCAGCCATTCAAAAGAAGTCCTCCCTACTTTCACCAAATATTTGTGTGCCTCTTTTTCCAATCTATTTGCTTACCCTTCTGCTTCTCTCTTTTATCTCTCTTTTCGCAATCCTCCTCCGCCATGGCCTCTTCTCCGTCGCGTCCTCTTCTTCTGCAGATCGCCGCCATCTTGTGCCTCTTCTCCCTCTTTATCTCTGCTAGCGCCAGGCCCTGCCGAACCTTCTTCGTCTCTTCCTACTCCTTCTCCCTCCGCCGCCCTTCCGGCGATTCAAACCCTCAAACCTTTACTACTACCTTCACCCACATCAGATCCTTCATCCCCGTCTACGTTGTTTCCAATAACAACGATAAACCCTCATTCGGTGCCGAGATTTTCTTCGATCGCGCCCTTCCTGCCCGCCCCGTTGAGAAGGAGCTCGAAATTGAGCCTCGGGATTCGAATTTGCCTGTCCCCCTTGGGTTCTCATCCTATGATTTCAGTTCGCTCCGTGATCGGACCAAGGACATTCTCAGTGTTGTTGTGGCTTTGCTCTTCGGCGTCGGATGTGGCGCTCTTACCGCTGCTACCATGTATTTGGTATGGTCTTTGTTCTCTAACCGATATGAGTATGGTTCTTATGATGATTATGTCGATGAGGACGATAATGATGATGGCGTTGAAAGTCCCAAGAAAATGGGATATGTGAAGATTCCGGCTGCTCAGTCTGTGCCTGCACCGGCCAAAGAAGTCGTATGAGAGTAGCTATTCATGTCTTGCGTGGGTCAAATGAAATGAATGGTCTTTACGACCCTACTTTGGATTGTTAATAAGCATAGTATAATCTAATAGAAAACAGGCAAACTTATGGCCTGTTCTAGTGTTTGTTAATGACATGTTTACTGTTCTGCTTATGATTCAAGTGCTAAACGCTAAAATCTCGTCTGTTGTATTCTTACTATCAGTTCTCGTCGGAATTCTTCCTTTCGTATGCTATTTGTCTATATTATTATATATCGGTTACTAATGAATTATGATTTATGATTCTCTTAAGTTTGGATTCATCACATATGGGTCCTAAAATTCTATATCTTTACACTATATAGTACCGGTTGCCTCTTCGCATTATGCGGTAAGCATGGTTATTCTTCCATCGTCGTATGTATGCATCAGACGATATCATCTTATGAATTATGTACCTGGAACAGAAGTCTGCCATTGTCCAAAAGAAAAAGGAACAGAAGTCTGCCTTTTAACTTGTTTTATATATTTTAAGCGTGTATCTTGTGTACAAGAAAAAAAGATTTGTTTCAGGGACGCACTAGTTGTATTTAGTTGTAGCCTTCACTTTTCTTGGTGAAACTGTTAGAAAGGTTAGCTCATCCTTGATTCCTGGAGGATTATCTGTTGTCGTCTTCTTCCACATTATTGGCATTCTATGTAGTTGTGCACTTCATATTACACTGATGCATGGTATCCGTAACCACAATTATTGTCAAAATCAGTGTAGAAGTCAACCTTGATATTGGATTTTGCGGCTTCCTTGGTGAAGTTTTATGGTAATAAAGGAACTTCTAAATCAAATTTCTCTCATTTGGTTATCACTTTTCTGTTGTAGAGCTGAGCTATTCAGCCTTATGAAGTTTGGACTGACAATCTGATTATTAAGCTACATGACAAAATTCGGCAACATGCATTTTAAGGAGTAAAAACGTCTAGTTGTTATAATTGCCTTGCTTGTCTTTTTCTGCTATAAGCAGTTCCTTTCAACAATTGATCCTTTGGAAATCATTTAAGGCAGTAGGATTTCAGGTAGTGAAACAGAATCAGCTTCTAGATACAAGGACAATTGTAGTCTTAGAATAGTGTTATTCTCCATTTAAAGCCTAGCTTCATACTGGTTTCCAATTTTGTGGTACTAAACATGCGTTTGGAAGTTAGATCAGCTGCTACATTCAGTTAAAAAGAATGAAGATGGATGAATTTAGATTGACTATAGTATGTTATTCTGTATACAATAAACTTAGATCTTAGTTGTAGAATCCTGTTGACATACTATGGGATTGACCTTATCCCCAAGTGCTTGTATATTTTTAGGTTGAAGATGGATGTTGGGAGGGAGGGACTAGATGTATTTCAAGGCCGTATTAAATAAGTACTATTTGATTTTTAATGGGCGGCAATGTAGACAGAAATCATTGATGGTTCATCTTTCATGGGGCTTGGCTTTAGACACTTGAGCTTTGGGTTTTACTTGGATGGACCTTCTTTGCACTGTCTTTGTCCTTTCATCTTACTATCATCATATATCTTACTCTGAGTAGCACTGTCACTGGTTCACCTTTCTGATAGAGTTCTACAGACATTCGCATGTTTTCCTCCTCCTCTAAGCATTAGTTTGATAGCGATGAAAGAATTCAGATAAGGTGGCATTAGTGTTTTGGTGGTCAGGGGGGTTTTCATTCTGTCCTTTCCACCCTCATCCCTCGCCCTTTTTGAAGCTGTGGCCAGCCTAAGCAAACTTTCAATGAAATAAGCTTAAAAAAACCACAGTGAAGGGGACTGTAAATGTTTGAATGTCACTTGGAGAAAATCACTAGCAAATGAGACGGTCTTCCCCCTCTTCTTTATATGTTCATCTGTCTATCTGTTTCTCTGCTGGTGAGCTAATTTTTCTTGTGTTTTAATTTTATTTGAAAATTCTATGCCCTTTGTTTGTATTAGCTCCTTGAAGCTTAAATTCCTTGGTAAATTGATTTTTTCAATGAGAAGGTAATGTGAGTTGTGTGGACCACAGATTAAATCTAGCTCATTTCCTCAAACCTCTTATCTGGGCTCCATTGGTTCATTTGTTTGTTTTACCCTCTCAAGTCATCAATCATCCGTTGGAGGTATAATTTCATTTCATTGAGCTTAGTGGAGATTGGGAGACATTAACTGTCAGTGTCTTAAAGATGTTTAAAACAAACAGTAGATGGAAAACTAGTTTCTACCTCTATTCGACATGATTCATTTTGCTTTGGTGCTTCTGTTACTGAAAGTTTACCCATCGCCGCACGCTATAAACCTTGGCTTCAGTGTTTGCTTTGAATTTTGGCTTGGTGCCCTTGTGAGAACGAATCCCAGGGAGAGGACGTATATTTTTCCCTTTGTTTTTTTGTTTTTTGGTCATACACTTCTTCCCCTTTAGTTAATCCCCACGTTATTATAACGCGTCTTTCTTCAAGCATGCTCATTTAACAAGTTGCGATTAATCACATTTAATGGCTTCTCTAACGTCATGAACCTCGCTCGATCTGTTGCTTGAGTAATATCAACTGTGTTGTATTTGCATGCTTTGCGCATCCCTTTTGTCTTAAGGTTTCATGTTTCAAGGCAAATTTTGACTACATCAACGAGGAAGAGGACAAGAAGGCTAGGCCCTGTATTTGCATTCGTACTCGAGAATTTCTATTTCACTTTCGTAATGGTACTGCGGAATTCAAATGGTTCCTTTAACAGAAGATTTGCCAGGGACAAGGGTTTTAAACAGTAATGTGTAGCGATTCCATTGAGGTTCTTGAATTAATCGAAAAGCGCATTTGCTAAGTGAATGAACCGATCAGGGATCTTTTGCGGAGGATCTCCAAGTCTACGTCATCAATGCAATCTGTACGCTAGAAGTTCGTGGGTGAGAAGATTATGTTTGATGTTGCGTGCTTTGCTTCTATGCGCATGAGTCTGCAAGCTTCTCGTTTGTTGAAAGAATCCGGAGTCCCAAAATCTGTCATTCAAATGTTACTTGAGAACACAACGTTCAGTAATCTGAAGACTCCCCTCATATGGTATCAAACTGGACGGCAATACAAAATTCAAAGCTGCGGCATTTTCAAGGCTCAATACTTCTTCATTCATCCCTGTTGGTTTGCTAGCAATTCCAATTTCGAACATTAAATTTCCTTGGCCATGGCTACATTCCTTGAGTGCTACAGTTTAAGATGCTCGTTGAACAAAACAAATGTTGGGAAAGCATTGTTTCCTTCCTTGCTATACTCTATACTCTTGCGAATGATTCCTTCCTGCAAGAACCTCTTGTTCAGTTTATTTACCGTCACCATCATCTTCTAAACAAATAGACTTCAAGTGCTTCTCCATCTCAAACAAAGCCGCCATAATATCTTCCGTGAAGTGATGAGAATAATTTCCAGATACAAATTCACAAACTGCACCATTTATTTCAATCGAGCTGCTTCCTGGAACCTTTCTCACCTTCTTTTCCTGCATTTCTGTTCGTACTTTCGCTACGTCTTCCCACTGTTTTGCAGAAGCCAACGTGTTTGAAAGAAGAGTACGAACTCCACCATGGTCCAAATTCTGGTCATTCAGGAACATGAAAATCTCTATGGCTAACTCAACTTTTCCATACATCCTACAAGCATTCAGTAATGCACCTAAAACGTATGAATCTGGCTCCATTGGCATCTTCCTTACCACGCGTTTTGCCTCTTCCAGCATTCCTGCTTTTCCCAAGAGGTCCACCAAACATCCATAGTGCTGAACCCATGGCTCAATCCGATAATGCTCTCTCATGCTTTTGAATATCCTTAAACCTTTATCCACTAATCCCATTCTACTGCATGCGCTTAAGACACATATGAATGTAACTTCATTTGGCGAAATTCCTTCGTGTTGCATTTTGTCAAATAGTTCAACTGCACTAGCACTCTCATCATGGTTGGCTAAGCCTGAAATCAGAGAGGTGAAAGCAAATACATCTCTGATGGGCATTTTATTGAAAACACTACGAGCAGTTTCAATGCTGCCACATTTGGCGTACATGTCAATAAGAGCAGTACCCAGTGATGTATCCAACACCATCTTGTTCCTATCCACATATGCGTGTATCCATCTTCCTTGATCTAATGCTCCAAGTGAAGCACAAGCTGTTAATGCACTCACAATCCCTGCAGGTGTAGGTCTATACCCAGAAGCAAGCATGTCATTGAAAAGCTCCAAAGCCTCTTTGAAGAAACCCAATTGAACATAACCATTTATCATCGCACTCCAAGAAACTGAATTCTTCTCGGGCATTCGATCAAACAGTTCTCGCGCAGCCATCACCTGTCCCAACTTTGCATACCCATTGATCAAAGCCGTCCAAGTAATAACATCCCTGTTGAAGCTCAAATCAAACAGTTTCCTAGCTGGGTCCATTATATTGCAAGATGCGTACAAATGTATCAACCCATTTTGCACAAAATCATAGGATTCCCAACCCAGTTTGATGACATGGTCATGGAGCATAAACCCCATGGATAAAGCAGAGTTTTTAGTACAAGCTCTCAGGAGGAAAGAGAAAGTGTAGTTGTTAGGCAAGAAGCCATCCTGGAGCATTCTAGTGTACAGAGACAAAGAAGTGGCGGGATCACCCTTTTCTTCAAAAGCTCTGATCATGGAGTTCCAGATCACAGTATTTCGACATGGTAGACAACGGAAGAGTCGGTAAGAGTGGTACAAATCGCCGAAGTCTGAAATGGCACAAGTGGAAATTACTTTACTTGCTATGAACGGATCATATATGTTACCTGAAACTGTGAGAAGAGATTGGATTTGCTTGATGTGTGACAATGTGAGGCATTGATCCAAGAGTGATAATAATGCTCTCTGACTTGATCCCATAATTGATAGAACTAAAAATTGTGGTGTTTTCTATGAAAATTATGGTGTTTAAATCTCATTTCTTTTGTTTGGGAAATCTGAGAACTAGACAGCTACTAAGAGAAAATCGATGATTGATCGAAGCCTGAGAAACTAAGATTATTTCACCGAATAATGCTTCACATGCGGTTCCCGGCGTTTCATGCACGAACGCAGTACTGGTTCTACATGCCATGTCTAGTTCAAAAAATCAAATATATAATGTCATAAAAACAATCCATGTCTAGTTCAAAAAATCAAATATATAATGTCATAAAAACAATCAAATATAAAATATTAACTATATTTATATTATTATTTATTTTTATTTGGTAATACAGCTTTTCTTCAATGCCATGTTGGACAATGGTTACGACTCCATTCACCAATCCATAATTTGTAAGGTTTTGTTTGGAATAGGAAGAAAATATGAATATAGAAAATTAGAGAACAGTAGATAAAAAGACATTTTTAACCCTTATTTCCTCTTAATTTACATTATACTAGCGAAGAACAATGTCTTCTTTTTTTTTCCCCTTACTTTTCTTGCCTAGTTTTCTTTTTTCTTGTTTTTTATCATTCTAAACAAAGCGCAAGAGAGGCATTATAGAAGAGCCTCGTGTTTCTTCCTTCCCATAGTTTCCAGCAAAGTATCCCAAATATAATACTTCAATTAGGGGTGAAAATAAGCTAAGCTGAGTTAAGCGCTTTAACTAAATAGATCTGAGTCTATATGATAAATTAGAAATTTAAACCTATTTAAAAGTAAGTATTTTAAATATTCACATTTTAATTTTAAACATCTCAAATATATTTTAATAATATTATAATATACAATACATAACTTGATTTATTAATTAAAATATATAATAATTGAAAGGACTTACTAACCATAATATAATGTAACAACAAAGTAATAATATTAAGAGAAATATATAACTCTAATATAATTGAAAATATAATTAAAAATAAAAAACAGATTGATTAAAAATCAAATAGTGAAATAGATTGTTTGTAATATATTACATTATATATATATATATATATATATAAGTCGGCTTTTTGAGCTCATAGAATAAGCTTTGAAAAAATAAGCCTAGCCTATTTAACTAAATAAGTTTAGTAAAAAACCTAAGCCTGATCTAAGTCTATTATTTAAATAAGTTAAGCTAGACCTAAAATAAACTAAGGTGTAAATCTCCTGTTAACAACTTAACCATTCCCTCCCCTACCTCCAATTATGGCTTTTGTTCTTATGATATTTGTTGTTGCTATTGTTTATAAACTTTTCAATTTTCTGTAGCAAATCTGGTTGTATATATTTAGAATCATATATAACATTTTTCCCATTATATATAATTAATATATTATTTCATAATCATGCATCAATTGACTGAGAGCCAACAGTGAAAGTTCAGTAATTAATCAAGTTTTACAATTACGCCATGGGACCTCACCAAAATGTTGAAGTCTTCAATTCAATATTCTCTATGATTGCAAACATAATTTTAGAAGTACATAAAATTTTCCTTGGCAATAGATTACATAGTTGACTTCTAAACCTCGGACAAAAAACTAGTGAGCTTGTCAGACGGGAAATTAATTATAAATCATAAGTATTATTATCAGAAACAAACTTGTTCATGTATTGAAGTTGTTTCCCAATGCTTTTCTTCATCCTGCAGAGTACAGACAATAGACAATTGAACAAGTTCATTCAAGAAAAAAATAGTTGGCCATCAGTAGTTTCTGTCTCCTGACCTTTAGTTAATGCAAAATGCAATCTTATTTGTAAGCTACTTTTAATATGTTTTACTAAAATTACAAAAATCTTAAATCTTATTAACTTTGCTTAGAAATTCAACAAATATCAAACTTTACTTCTATTAAATATATATACTTCAAAAATAAAATACTCTAATATTTAATAATCATTCCAACTTTTAATAAGGACAAGGAATAAAGACAGACAGACACAAATCATAAAAATATTCTATAAATAGAATCAAAACAAATATTATCTCTCTCCCTTTTACTAAATTGAAAGACCACAGAACAAATACAAGACCACAGAAGTATTTACTAAATTAGGTCCTCCATGTCATCATCTGATCGGGAAAGCTTCTAATCTTTGAAAGTTTTTCTCTTTAACTCCTAATCTTATCCCACATCTCTCAATTTGTCGCCCTGATAGAATATCTCATTTGAGCACTACAAAAAAATGATTCAAACTGCTGTGTTTCAAGCTTGCAGTAAGTACAAGTTGAAAATAGGCACACGTAATATCCCAAGTTCTTCTAATCAATCCTAGAATCATTAAAGATGGTGCTGGTGAAACAGTACTAAGCAAGGTGCACGTAACGTTAAAATAAAAGTAATAAACAAGTAGAATTATCTCTGGACCATGGGAGAATACATTTCTGAACTACTGTTAGTACTCATGCAGGCCAATTGCATGTTGTTCGGAAAAAAGGTCCTGAGATTCTGCTCTTGTCTTGGACCTCTATCCGGCGTTGCGACCTAAGGGTTCCAGTCCCACCACATGCTCTCCCATTTTTTGGATATCTTCAGGTGAAAGTATTTTGATGTACCAAACATTATTGACAAATGATCTGCAGGAATTTAAGCAGGACATCAACAAACAGAAGACAGAGTGTCATCAGACATTAACCAAGTAAATTAGTTTAATTCTTTCTTAAAACAAGTACGGAATGCCATGCATGAAATATGTACTTACTCCCACGGATCATCTCCAAGGAGAAGCATGTCATCCTCCCTGTCGACAAATACAAGCTGCCAGCCTGATCTAAGAGGGTCTTCTCCCTCAATTCCAAACATCTGAGCCAATTCTTCTCTCAGTTCATGATAGCTGCTGAACCGGGAGATATCAAGTGAGCGGCCAACTGACCCTGATTTGTAAACCTGTGAAAAGAAAGAACAAGATTGCAGTAGAAAAAGGGACTCAGGAAGCTGCTACTAAAGCTTCAAAATTTTGATTATGACCCTGTACCTTGACAAATGTCTGGGTTTGGTTTCGCGGGCCAACCTGCCCAGAACTTTGCAATAACTCTGGTGAATCTTGCATGCAAGCATATAGTTGACCCTGAAATCCAGAATCCCCCATTTGCATGGTTGAAGTATCAGTATCAACAGATGAAGGTGCATATCCCGTGGCAGTAGTTGGGAGCACAAGGCCAGATGAATTGATATTATTACCAAAAAGAGTAGGATTTTGGTTCTCTGAAGCACAATATGGATGTACTGATGAAGAATCTTTTCCACTATAATGTGCATGTGACATCAAATTGCTAAAGGCCTTGACCTGCATAGGTGGATACATCGACGATGTCCAAGATTGTTGGGGCATCTGTTCAGTCACCATGGACTGACTGGTTCTGGATAGGTTTAAAATATCACTACCACTCCCTTCACGGCACAGTGAAGCGGGTACATTTTGTATGGGGGAAACTGATGAAGAGAACTTCATGCTTGAATCTAAGAAATCCGGCTTTGAATATGATGGTGAAGGCACATTAGAATGTTGCCTCTGAAGGAACTGATCACTTTGAATCAAGACTGAATCATGATAAGTATTATTCTGCTGCTGTGCTTGTTCTTCCTGATTGTAAATGTTATGTGATTTCTGAAGAAGGTTCTGTGACAAGTTCTCCATTAATACACGTTCTTGTGGCTGCAGATTATTGGATGAGGTTGATTGCTGAATTGCCTGCTGCTGCTGAAATTGCAAAGAAGGATTTTGGTTTCCTGATTGTTGAAGAAAAGGGAAAGTCTGCTGAAAATGCATCATTTGTTGCCTCAATAGATCTCCATTCCCTCGATTCTGCAAACCAGCCGCTAACAATGATTGGTACTGCTGATTATGATTATTTCCTAACAAAGTTGGATCCAACCTCTGCTGCATCCACGGCAACACACCACCACTTTGAAAGTTTAAAGAGTTTAAACTATGTTCTCCAGCTCCCCCTCTAAGCCACATTAGCCCATTATTTGCATCATCTCTGACATCTGTGAGAAGACCATAGTTAAAAATAGGGAAAGTACAACTGTTGGTCTCTATACTTATAAGATGTTTTGATACTAGTTCCTATACTTTTATTTTGTCGTTCCAAATCCCTTGAGCTTCATATGTCTGCAATGTTAATTCTTATCATCATTGGCATAGTTAAATCTGCTAGTATATACATAACTATCTTTTATTTTGTTGACAAAATTATGATGAGTTGGACATTGTATGAGAAAAATAACCACTATTCTTTCTACTTGACTGCTCTAGCTGTGCGTTTTCTTAATTCTAAAGCTTCATCCATCGCATGTATAAGGATTTTGATTTAATGCTCTCCTTGTTTTTTATTTTTTTGTCCTCTCTTTTTTATACAACTCATCATAATTTTAACAAGAAATAATAGCATTCATGCACATGTTAGTCATCATCAAGTCCTTATGATAAGTGTCACCAACTACTTTCCTCACAATGAAAAGGTGGTCATACTGTTTAGTCACTTCATTTTGGTTTTTTTTCTGGCTAAATTCTTCTGAATTGCTAAGCAAAAGTTGTCTAAATTCTGTCTAAATTCTCCTTTGATTGAAATGTTTAGGTGGATAAAGACCAGAAAAACTTTATGCAGCTTATTTGACATTCAATTTCAACCAATTGTTAGCAAGTAAAATTTAGATTTTTGATGTTTGATGGCAAATTTTGAAGTTATCACAAGGCCACCTGATCCTTTTGTCAAATTTATGCTTGAAACTTTAACATGTGCAATAGACATGTACAAGTTTTTTTGTAGCAGATTTTGGTTGGTCATTGTCATACTTGGAAGCCAAAGCCACACTATAAGTGGGGCAAATATATATATGTATATGAATAAATATCATGTAATGACAACCATTTGCATTTGACAACCTCAAGTTGGCCACTTCAAATGCAATAAATCATCTACAAAAGCAACCCTATATTCATGTAAAAACAGCATTGTCAGTGTCGGCAATAGTCTTTATGTACAATTTAAAGGCTTGTTTGGTTTTGTTCTAATTTTTTGTTTTTAAAAACTACTTTGTAAACCAATTTTTAAAAATTGTTTTTCAAAACAAAACAAAATGAAAATCTGTTTGATTATGCTAATTTGAAAACAATTTTAAGAGTTAAAAAATGGCCAATAGACAGTGGTAGTCGCCAGCTAATTTGAAAACAATTTTAAGAGTTAAAAAATGGCCAATAGACAGTGGTAGTCGCCAGTGGCTAATGATGATGGCCTATGATAGTGGTTGACCATATCTGAAGATGATTTATAATAGTTAAATGTAGTGTTTTTTAAAAATAACAAAAAGAAAAAAAAAATAACCCTAAGCTGTTTCCATTTTTTTTCTAAACAAAAAATGAGAACAGTTTTGAAAACATTTAAATCCAAAACACTTACCCAAACAATTTTTTTTACTTTTAAAAACAGAAACCAAACATGCCTTAAATCACTTGCATTTCAGACCAGGCTGGCTCTTGATAAGGTTTATATCCCATGCCATTTTTTGACAACATGAATGTATGATCAAACTGTAACTATCATCATGAGTGTATGGGTAAGATGCCACTTGAACAGAAAAAGGACAAGAATAGGTTCCCAAAAAATAATAATAATAATAATAATAACAACACCCAAAAAAAAAAATTTGACCATCAAATTGAGCCTAAGCCTACCATAGGCACGAATTATCTACTTCAATATTAAAAAAAAAGTGGATCACAATATAATCCTTTGGAATTTAAACACATTATGACGAATTTTTCAGCAATTTACCATGATTCTGCTAAAACAAAGAGTCTTCATATAAAATATTTAGGAAGCCAATTTAAAACAAACAAATATTTATCCCCCAGGAAAAACATTTACCATTGACAGGTGAGGGGCGTTTCAATCCGAGGGGAAATAGTGATGGATACATTGGGAATATTGTCAAAGGCTCAATTTCCCAGAGTGAAACCCTTGGCCGTCTCTCTCCTGCTGTCGATTCATCCCAACCGACCTACACATAAAGTAAGGAAGACTCACGAGAGTGTCATCCGAAGAGAGTTGCTATGAAATTACTGCTCGCTTTTAAGGCAGAGGGTTTCAAATATCAAACTCTGAAATCATCAAAAGCTCATAGCAGTATAGTTCTTTGTCTGGCTACAACTTCAGTTCACCATTAATTCAGTGTGTAAAGTGTAAACAGCAAACGCCAACAGAATTATGAATTGTAAAATTTATGCTGGCGTCAGCCATCAAAATTGCAAAGTTACATATACATTTTAGTATTATTGCTATCAAATCAAAAAGGTGCCTATAAAGACTAAAAAGAACACGATAATGTCAATTAATGGGATGATTTTTTTTTTTTTTTAAGTGACAGCATATAGGTCACTACACAAGTAATTATATCTTCCACAATGTTTTCAAGAAAACCCATTTGCAAGAAGCAACCTTGCCATGACTTTAATAAAATACCAAACAAATATAGATGCAGCGACAAGTAACTGCACATATCATGTCATTTAGAGATATGATATCAGCAGCAATTGTCCTTCCTACATAACGGGCAGGCATCAAGCCAACTTGATAACTATCAGAGGCCATACAGCATTTTCCCCCTTCCCTTGGATGTGTGTGTGTGTATCTAATAGCCAGCAAAATTAGGATTCTAGAATTTGGAAAAATAAAGATGTCAGAAAGGTTAAAAGGGCAGAAATTAGATTATTAAGGGAGCATCTGTGTATATGAGATTAAAATAAAAAAAATAGGTTTAAGAACTAAGGAAGCACATAAAAAAGGTTCTTTGGCGATAGTGTAAAGAAACACCTATAAATCATACATTTGGGCAATTATGTGCAAAGCAAATCGTTGAATGTTAGAAGAAAGAATCATTGAGGATGTATGATGTCTAAACAAATCTGGATTACAATATAGGAGATGCAGAAAATATATAGATAATATACAGGTGATTAGAGAATAATCTAGACTTGAACCTATTTTTTGTTGAGTGTGACAGAATGAATAATAAACCAAACTGGTTCACAGCTCCACAACAGATCTGAAAGCTTACTGTTTCTATTGCCCGCATTCCATTCCTTGATTGGACCCTTTTGTTATGCCATTACAAGCCTTTGAGCCATTATGACCATTTAACCTACAAACTTAGTATATTTTTAAAATCCTATTTCTTTGTCATCAACCAAATTTCCTGCAAACAAATGGCCATAAAATTTGAATGTTTGGAATTCTAATTGATTGTGCTGAATCACAAATCATTTCAATCAAACAGATTAAACAAGATGATTGAGAGAACTACAGAAAACTGCAAGAGGTCCCAACAAATCAACAAACATCATGAGCAAAAATATGCAAGATAGATCATATTTAAAAAATCAGAAGTCTAAAATAGAATTTAATTGCAAAGAGGCATAAAGTTTCATTTAAGAACAGAGAATATAATATATAATGTTAAATGGTCTTATGAACTCATTACATGCATTGTAATCTTACTTACCTTTACTGATCTCCAGTGAGAGTTTGGCCAGCGAACAGGATCCAGATCGCTTATACCAGTTATTGTACCCATATATCTGCAACAAAGGTCAGCATATAAGCAAAGGCAGAGCCAGAATAGGATGGGATCAATCAGTCAAAAAGACAACAAAGCAGTTAATCCCAGTCCCATTACTCTGCCTTTTATTACAAGGAAGTTACTAACAGAGAGCCATTTACCAAGAAACTTGCTTCCTTGGGTAGCTAATAGGATAGATGCATATTCCAGAAAAATAAACTCAAGCATGATTATTACTTTCTTAACTTACTTGGAAGTACAGCTATTCACATTTTAAGTGCATCAACCCTTAGAACAAACAATTAAGTAATATACCTGGTTATATAGCATTTATTGAAGATATTTTACCCCGATTATCAGGAGTTATTAGTATATATTTGTCTCTATTATTTTGTCTCTTAGCTTGGTGTATACATACTTTGCTGTAACACACGTTTAGTATGAATAAGAATAATCTTTTCCCCCTCAAAATACCACATGGTATCAAGGCCAACATGGCTCCACTAGGATTAGAAACCTAGTAAGAGTTTCTACCGTTTAATTCCGTCAGTCCACCCATGATCAAACACAACATGTTATAAGAGAGATATTACTAGATCTCACCGCTGACCAAGGGAGGATCAAAGGCCTTCGATCGGCGATACCTAGTAGCAGCACAAACATCAACAGCATGTGGTTTTCACACACGCCACTCATCCACTCCATGACAGAGAGAGCATTCCGACGAACAGCAGCACATGGAGGTTACTCTTCAGCAACAGTGGCTCCCTTCAACGACAATAAACCCTATCCGGCCTAGTCCCATTGTTTTTCAAGCATAGCTATGTAAAAATTTCTTCAATTCGTTGAACATGATTGCTGTCAGAATAGGAGATCAGAGAACAATAATGATCATTAATTCGTAAGAGAAATGGGGCTTCTAATCTTGGAAGCATTGTGCCTCAACCTCCTTGATCTAATGTGTAGTAGTTTTTACATACTATTTCTACAATGGGTGATAAAGCATGCCAAACACTCATCCAAAGTCAAGTTTATTGAATCTGACCCATTATGTGTAAGATAGGTTCCAAAGGCAATCTTAGTCTTTTTGGCATGAAGAGGTAACTTTCTTCAAGCCTTGAATATATCCAGGGACAAAACTTTATGGATTGTTATAACTTGGGAGCATCGAACCATATGACCGATAACTACCAATTATTTTCCACATATATTCCATTTGCCAGGAACTTGAAAGTTAAAATTACGGATGGGTCTCTTGCTTCTATTACTGGTAAAGGGAGTATTCGTATCTCTAAATCTATCACTCTAAAATATGCTCTTCATGTACCCAAATTATCCTACAACTTCTTGCTTGTTAGTCAATTGACAAAGCAATCTAATTGTGCTAATTTTCTTCCAACTCATTGTCTCTTCCAAAATCTATCATCGAGGATGACGATTGGACGTGCTAAAAAATACAAGGGGCTCTGCTTCTTGGACGATGCTAGAGTTAGTCACCAACAAGCCACAAGCGTATGTAACTCTATATTGACCTTTAAAAATGCAGATATTCTGTTATGGTACAAGAAAATGGGCCATTCTAATTTCCATTACCTCTCGCGTTTGTTCCCAAACCTTTGTCCCACTAACCATGATATTCAATGTGAGGTGTGTGAGTTAGCAAAGCATCATCGAACATCATTTCCTTGAACATCTTATATGCACCCACCAAGCCTTTAGTTACCATACACAATGATTTACGGGGACTATCTCATATCCCAAACCGCACCAAAACAAAGTGGTTTATTACCTTCATTGATACTCATACTCATGTCTGTTGGGTGTATTTCTTAGAAGACAAGTTTGAAGGCGCGTTTGTGTTTATTAATTTCTTCACTATGATAAAAACCCAAGTTCAACACAAGCATCCAAGTCTTGCATGTAACATCTTAAGTTTTTAAGATGGGAATTGGCAATGTTTCCAAAGATATTTTGGTTAATTTAAATAAATTATTGATTAAAGATGTTTATAGAAGACTAATATAATTTTTGGACCCTTGAACCGCTTTAGAAAAAGGCTAGGTCGAGGTTTGCGCAGGCCAGGATACAAAAGGGTGTTTAAATTTTGGTAGGACTTTCTGCGCCAGCGCCGCGGCAAGCATGTCAATGCACCACGACACACACGCGAAATCAGTATTTATCAATCGCGAAAATAGTTCAGAAACAGAAGGAAGAAAGAAGGAAAAAATGAGAGTGTTAGAGAGAATTCATATACTGCTAGGGCATAATCATTAGACCACATTGGCAGCATTTGGAGCTTAAATAATCATTAGGTAAGTCCGACATTCCCTCTTCTCCCTCTTATGCGAAAATTCTGACTTTTAGGGCTATAGAGGCTTTGATCTCGATTCTCTAGGGTTTAGACCGAACCCATTGGTTTATTTAAGGTCTTGGGAAGTTAAATCAGGCCTCTAACCCTAAGTTATGAGTTTTATGGTGATTTGAAATTTTTGATAAGGGTTTGGACGAATTCTAGACATAATCTGGAGGTTTTGAGACAATGTGTGGAATTGGATGAGGATTTTGATATGTTTAGGATGTTTGATAGGATGGTTAGTGTTTGAAAATGGTTGCTGTGGTTAGATGAGAAATGTGAGTGTTATGGGTATTTAGAACTTAATGAATTCGAGGTTTATTTGGAGTGATAATTGATAATTATCACTTAATTGTGTAGATTAAGTGTTGCTCAAGCCTTATCGTGCATATAGAACATGTGGAGCTAACGTTGAACTACGGTAACCCTTTTGTGTGACAAAGGGTTGAAATAACAAAATAATTTACACTAAATGATTATATTGTTTAACTGTTTGTGAGTAGATAAATATATTTGTCTACATGTATTTTGAAAGTTTAGCATGTTGTGAAGATAATTTCCTTGTGCATTAAAAGCTACTTTTGAAATGATAAAGAATTTTGAGTCCTTATGTAAAAAGTAATGATTTTTCATAAGTGTGGAATGTGTGATAAGAATGAGCATGACTATATTAAGGGGTGAAAGTTCACCTATAGGAAATAGTGGAAGTTCACATGACATGTATCTCCTTTATGTCTAATGAGGCATGGTATTGGAAATTTTCTCCTTAGTATCCATGCGAGATACAGCATTGAAGAGTGATACTCCTTAACATCAGTGATACAGTATTGGAGTAACGACACCGCAATTTGTGTGTGATAAGGAAGAAACCATAGTCCAGAAGTAGGATAGGACGTCTTTGACCGGGTGACCTTACCATCGAAGGTGAGCTCAAACCATTATAAAAGTGCACTTAGTTCCAGAGCCTATAGTTTCAGTTAGGATGATATGGAGACTCGGATAATAGAATAATTGTGCTAGTAGTAAATGATTTGTGTTGATTAAAAAGAGTGTTATAATATGCTAAAAGTATATTTTGGAGTTTTATAATTTTATTCTCTTATGTTTGTGCATGTTAATTAATAGTAGTGAATTATTCTATTACTAAAATGTTTATCTCACCCCATGATTATATTTTACTGGTGAGAGCTCCGATAAAGGCAAGGGGAAGGAAGGGGCGACTGAAAAGTGAAGAGCAATAGTTGTATAGCTCTTTCCTTTTCTCTTTTGGATTTGTAACGAATATTGTTATAATATTATGCCAACATATGATCATAACATTGTTTTGGTTATCACTTGTATGAATTTGTGGTATGTGGGTGTATCTTGGCTTAAGGTTGATGCTATTGTAATTGAATGAATGTGCTTAGTCAAGATATAATTACAAGTGATATATTCAAAGTAATTTATGTATCAAAATAACCAAATTGACATGTGAGTTAAGTTTTATCCACATCTTTGTGTTGTTGTCAATTAGGGGTTGGGTGGTCATTTTAAGTGATTACTTATTTGTGTGATATATTTGACTTGTCATATTGTGTGTGGTTCATTTGAGGTGATCAAAGTGTTTCCGATGCTAATGGCATTTGGCATTGTGAGTTGGACACCTTTGAATGTGTTTTGAGGTGAAAACGAACCATTTTAGGTTCAGGCGTCCATCTTTTTAATGGATGATTATATGAATGTAAGACCCGTGCCATTAGCTAAAAGGCTCGAAGAGCTTCTTATGGACACTTGAACCCCTCAAATTGGATGTCAGATGATGAAACAACATGCTCCGGAAGTTCGAAGAGCTGTCATTTGCTATCATGATAGTAGGTGCGTGCCGTGACGCAAGTGGCTTTCAAGGAACTCATTCCTCTATGCCATCCACCACCACGGTAGGCGTGGCTTGCACCGCGGCAAACAAACCAAAATTATTGCATAAAGGGCTTGTTCAACTTGTTTTGAAGTACTCTTTGATTTTCATGCTTCCGTAGTTGTAATCAATTGATTTTCATCTATGGTTTGAATTCAAACAATAATTTAAAAAGCGTTTTTTTGAGATCCCATTGTTTTAACTAATTATATTTTTAAACCCTTAAGTTGTGATAACTTTTGCTTGGAATTAGCTAATCTTGGTTATCACAACAGCGTATAAGAATATTGTCTTGGTACTGTCAAGGCAGACATTACACTGCACACCGACAATAAGACTAAACATTTCAACGAAATTTTGAGTTCTTTCCTACTCAAGCATGGTATTGTCCACCAAAGTTCTTGTGCCCATACACCTAAAAAAAAAAGGCATTGCTAAATGAAAAAATAAATATACCCTTGAAGTTGCTAGAGCACTCATGTTCACCCACAATGTTCCAAAGTTTTACTAGAGGGATGCCATCTTAATTGCAACCACCTCATCAATTGATTGTCCAATCATATGTTATCCTTTGACACTCCTCTCCAAAAATTGCAAAGTGTTTTTTCCACATCTCATATTGAAACCAACTTTCCTCTTCATGTGTTTGGGTGCACAGCCTTTGCTCATATCCACCAAAACAATAAACCTAAACCCCATGCCACAAACTGCATCTTCCTTGGCTATTCTCTCACTCAAAAGGGATACAAATGTTTTGATCTTATTTCTGAACACATGTTTGCAAGCCTCAATGTTACGTTTCATGAAGACACACCTTTCTAACCCAATTCTTCAATTTAGGGGGAGAGTTTAGGTGAATCTCATACTTAGGAACAAGAAACTACCAACAAACAAGTGCTCCTTGATTCCCAACTTATGCCAACAAAGCCATTACCACCACAATTACCAGAACCATCACCGACACCAAAACCCTCAACCTAACCTTCTACATCTATTTCTCCTTTGTCATCATAATCTCTTGTGCCAGTCATAGAAAATAACTCAAAAGGAGGGAGAGATGTAAAGGAGCAGAAAGACAAAGACTTGTTGGCTTATTCACAAAAGCATCAATTCAAGGAAGGAGAGCACCTTGCACCCAAAGCACCAAAGGAGTTTAAACCAATGATAGCTCCTGCACCACCTCAAGGAATTCCTAAATAGGTGAGTGATCAATTTGATCTTGCTTTGCCTATTGCTCTTCAAAAACACCCTTGCTCTTGTACCTTACATCCAATACACAAGCATATGTCCTACAAGGCCCTTTCTCTAAGTTACCAAGCATTTGTCACTAATCTGGATAAAGTGATAATTCCCACCAACATCCAAGAAGCACCAGAAATACTAGAATAGAGAAATGCAGTCATGGAAGAAATGAAAGCTCTAGAGAAAAATGGAACATAAGAGATTGTTCTGAGGCTAAGTGGCAAGAAGCTTGTAAGCTACAAGTAAGTCTTTACCCTTAAGTACAAGGCTGATAGTACTCTTGACAAATTAAACGCACGCTTGGTGGCAAGAGAGTTTACTTAGACATATGGTATTGACTACAAAGAAACATTTTCCTAGTGGCTAAACTTAACACTATCAAAGTTTTATTACCTGTGGCAGCCAACCCAAAACTGTCGCTTCATCAATTGGACATCAAGAATGTCTTCCTAAATAGAGGGCTAAGAGAAAAAGTATATATGATTCTACCTCCAGGATTTGATAGGGCAAAAGTGATCAAGTGTGCAGATTGAAGAAATCTCTATATGGCTTAAAGCAGCCTCCTAAGGGTGGTTTGACAAATTCTCAAAAGTTCTCAAGCTGGAGGGCTGCAAGTAGAGATTGTCAGACCATACAATGTTTGTTAAAGTTGAGGGAGGCAAGAAATGCATTCTTATTGGGTATGTTAATAACATTACTCTCACAGGAGACTAATCTTGAGGAAATAATAAGAGTAAAGATTGTTTTGGGAAAGAATTTGAGGTAAAGAACCTCAATAACCTAAAATACTTTCTCGATATGGAAGGTGCAAGGTCAAAGAAAGGTATCTACATATCTTAGAGGAAGTATGTACTTGATCCTCTAAAGGAAATAGGTATGTTGGGTTGTAGGCCTACTAAAACTCCGATTGTAGTTCCAAAGAAAAAAAAGCCTAAGAAGAATAACTAAATAAGGACATATGGAAGCAACCTATAAGATTTTGAGGTATCTAAAAGGTACTTCTGGTAGAGAGTTATTCTTCCAAAAACAAGTATAGAGAACTGTATAAATTTACATAGATATAGATTGGGGAGAAACTCAACTGGATAGAAGAAAAACCTTCGGCTATTGTTCCTTTATGTGGGGAACTTATTTACCTGGAAGAGTCAAAAGCAAAAAGTTGTCTCTAAAAGCAATGCTGAGTCCAAATTAAGAGCATTGGCTAAAAGAACAATGGAAGAGTTGTGGCTGAAATGGGTCTTGGAAGAAATAAATGTCAAAGTGGATCTACCACTAAAACTCTATTGTGACAATAAGGCGGTTATAAGCATGGCCCTAAATCCTATTCAACATGAGAAATCTAAACATATGGAGGTGGATAGGCATTTCATTAGAGAAAAATTGGAAGAAGGAATTATATGTTTGACTTATTTGCCTACCAATCTTCAAGCTGCAGATGTTCTAACTTGAAGGGGAGTGTGGTAATATAGCATTTATTGAAGGGAAGCATTTGAAAGTTGCATAAGCAAGTTAGACATGATTAGCATTTATGATCCAACTTGAAGTGGAGTGTCATAATATAGCATTTATTGAAGATATTCTCCCCTGATTATTAGGAGTTATTAGTATTTATTTGTCTTTATTATTTTGTCTCTTAGCTTGGTGTATATATACTTGTTGTAACACACATGTTTAGTATGGATAAGAATAATTTTTTCCCTCTCAAAATACCACAATAACATCTGCACTGCAGGAATCATGTTTAGAATGGCATCAACAAAAATCCAACAGATGATTGAGAAAAAAGTTGAGAATAAAAAGTACCTGCGAACACTTGACTCCTCAGTCTCAAATAGCATTCTAAAACGCATACCAACTGAAACACGTGTATGGCACACAGCTTTGATATATTTTGAAAGAGGTATAACGAACTCGGATGATGGACAAGCCCTGCCCAAGATGTAGATGTCAAAAGAAGATCGTGATCCACATAAAGAATCACAAATAGAAATTTAAACAAAAAATAAAACCTTGGATTATAGAAGATAGTAAAGCAGCTATTAGTTGCAGCAGCATGAGCAGCAGCTGCAAGCAATCCAATGTGCATAGTATCACTAGATAGAACTGATGAAGGCATCAAAGCTTGTGGTCGATTGGCGCGACGTATTCCCAAAAGAAGCTGATTCTTTTCATTCCTAACAGCAAGAATGACCAAAAAAACAACAAAATAAGTAAAAAAATCCTCCATTCAGTGTTAATAAACAGGCATTTAAACAACAACAACAACAAGCCTTTATCCCACTAGGTGGGGTCGGCTACATGGATTGCAAGACGCCATTGTGCTCTATCATTTATTAAGCTTTTAGAAATATTATTAATTAAGAGATCACGTTCAACAACTTCCAAGAGTGTTCTCTTAGGCCTTCCTCTACCTCTCTTAATCGAACTCAAAGTTATATGTTCCACTCTTCTCACTGGTGCCTCCCTTGGTCTTCTTTGTACATGCCCAAACCATCTCAACCGATTTTCTACCATTTTTTCCTCAATAGGTGCCACCCTCACTTTTTCACGTATGCGCTCATTTCGAATTTTATCTTTACGTGTATGTCCGCACATCCATCGTAACATTCTCATCTCTGCTACTCCAACTTTATGCTCTTGCTGTCCCGTTAGAGCCCAGCATTCACTACTATATAACATTGCCGGTCTGATAGCAGTACGATAAAACTTTCCAAACAGGCATTTAAACAAGGTAAAAGGAAATAGGTACCATATAAAAAGCACAGAATCTCCAGCCACTAGTCTCTTGGCATTAACATATACACTCCAGCCTGTTGTAAGAAGGTGCCGTTTTGGCTGTCCTGAAATGGCATGGAAGCAATAGAGGTAAGACTTGGAAAGAAGATACAATCCCACTAAAAATCTATTCACATAAGGTAATTAAAATGCCTTCTTACAGCAGATATTCTTCAATTAAAAACAATTTAAATGAGGGTTGCATCAAGACTTGTGTCTTGATTTTATATGTTGTGATGGAAAGACAAACTGATGAGGACAGGAAGGAACAAAAAGGAAAACAAACAAGATTGCCTAAACTCAGCAAAATTCAATATTTCAATATTGAGGGTAAAAACTAGAACGACTAGGTGTATACATAAATGGACAAACAAGATAACGTAATCTTGAGCAAGAAGGCTAGTTCAAATCCCTTATGAAATCATAACTTCCCACAATTGCTCTAAGTTACAAACCCTAATTCCCAAATAATGATTTCATAAAATAAGAAATAATTATATATTCTCACAACTATATTAATGACCAGCAAATTCACTCCATTAAATTAGAAGAATGGGTAAGCCAAAAGAAGCATAAGAAAAAGTAGATATTAAACTGCATATGCATTAGAAATACAACTAGATCAAGATTCAGTACTGTAGATAAATATATTATATTTCTGAAAACATTACATATTACAACATAGTGGAAGAGAACTATGTAAAACAGTAACCCTAACAAGGTCTCAGACTGAGAATGGAAATGAGTCCCATTAGGAAACTGACAGCCTTGAGACTGTTTTTGAGAGCTTTCTTGTTAGAATTGCATCGGCCAATTATATAAATGTGTAAAAACCTCAAGTCTCATCAGTGTTTGGAAAATTGGACTGAATCAACAAGCTTCAAGCAGAAACCCAGTGAACTGAACCCTGTTTTGGTCTAAAAGACCCTTCAAACAGGCTTGAGGAAGGACTTGCCAATGCTGGTGAAGAAATCATGTAAGACTTCCCGGTTTGCCATGCACACAAGTATATATATAAATAATCTTAAAATGGAAAAAACATAAAACCTTCAAAATTCCCTTTATAAAAAATTGCAAATCAACCTGCACTTGAGCACTTCTACCATGTATCCAAGGAACAAAATAAATAATTAGTTCCAGCAAAGTTTTAGCCTTTTTACTTGTTTCAATGCAACAATATGTAACGGTTGCATTTGTTCATAAATAAATGATCTTTTACTCAAATTTTAAAACCAGGAAGTCCAAAAACTTAGATGTTATGTTTGGCTTTGGTTTAATGCATCCTCAACATTAAAATGTTTGAAAAATATAAGTATATTTATTATATTAAATTATTATCATGTCAAATAAAATATTCAAATATCACCAATTCAATCACAATTTGATTATGGTCAAACCAATGAGCTGTGAACCAGTTCCATCATCAAATCAATGACTAGTTTTATTTTTTTGGAATGAAACAGTGATAAAAAACATCAGAGTAAAATACCAACTAGACAAACGCTAGGGAAGATAATCTTTCATCATCCACCACCTTAATACAGTAAGGTGGAGGATGATCAAAAAACCTAAACTATCACTAGCATTCTTAGCCAAAAAAATGGGCAAGAAAATTTGCCTCTATTCATGAGACTAACACTGACATCCCAATCTCTAAACAAAGCAATTTGGCTTGGTCAACAACGTCTACGACTAGTTTGATTTTAAATGGGTTTTATAGAGACAAAGTAGAATGTTACTGAACCAGTCCACAATTTCAAAAGAAAGTTTGAACTTATTTATCATGGTTTCGTTGCATTGTCTAAATAATTTAAAAGGAAAACTACATACAAGTCCCAAAAAAGAAAAATAATTATTATAGGTTCTCACCACTTGTAAATATCTGACATGTAAATATTAAGTTTGGCTTGTAAAAGGGATTGGAATTCCTTGCTTAGGACCTGATTGTAGTTCTCCCCAATTTAAATTCCCATTTTGTTGTGATAATTAAAAACTTGCTCCAAACTTGATCCAAAAAACCAAGACAGTTTTGTGGGAGGAAAGCAATTCCACCTTCCTCAGGCAAACTAATGTTAGCCAAGCTTGACAGAACCAGACGGATCTACAGGGGGGCAAGGAGGGGTTCTTGCCCCCTCCCACCCATGGATTACACAGCCTTTGGTAGAAGTTTTATTTTTTCTTTGCAAAATAGTTTAATCTAGATTTTAGCCACCCAATTTCTTATTTTATTTTCAGTTTGGCCCCCCAAATCATGAAAGTCTAGATCCGTCAGTAGATCACAATATAACAGAGGACTTCTCAGTGAAGTTTCTTTGACTTTAGAAGAAACAAGGGGGAAAAAAACAGTTTTGCTTATCCTCGTATTCTTAATATCCAAATGACAGTCCCAAAAGAATTATTTTATTTCCTGGCAAAAAAAAAAAAAAATTGAATGTATCAAAATTCCTGAGTTGTTTGCCAAGTCGCATGAGAACTTGGAAAGCATAAAGCCTAAGTCTCCTACTTAGCCTACCATCATGAGCCCAAACAATTACTAAACGACAAGTTTGGGTATTCTTTGACTTCCTAATGTAATGTAAGACCAGACAATTCTGCTTGTTCTCGACAATTCTATTGACATTTGATACAATATAGAACAGCAACAGCAGGAAATTGAGTCACTGGTCCAAGGGCAGTTGATCTTCCTCCTACTTGCTGATACTAGATCTAATCTTGAAGCTGATGGTACGCATGGTCTCTTTCTGACCAAGGTATCTTTGAATCAATCCAAGAAGTACATACAATGATTTGAGTCTTTCTTACCAGTTAGTATCACATACTCTAAACAAAAAAAAAATGTTAAAATTTTGGAAGAATAAAACATCAGGAGTGCTTACAATCTGAGCCGAGTTGGGTTTCACCTTGGCACTGGAACGCCCTTTGGTTACACAAATCAACCCATGGCTCAGCCAGGCCATACCAAGCCACAGGTTGGCTTGGTAAAAATAAATTAAAATACTTGAAGAAAAGCTAATTTATTTTATTCATCAAAAGTATAATTCATATATCTCAATATATATCCTTCAAAATAAAATTAAGATCCAGAGTAATTTTTTTAAAATTACAAGTACTCAACAATTATACACTATTTTCACATTATGTTGAGTTTAAAAATCAATTTTAAAATTTAAAATAGAATATAAAATCTGATATCATTAAGAAAATCTTTATAATAACTATAAAATCACCTTATCACATGAGATATATCCAAAAAAAAATCTTACAAAATCAATTAATAGCTATATAAAAAAAAAGGGCAGGCTAGTACCTTGCCCAATGTCCGGCTCAACCCGGTCTCATTTAAACTGTTTCTCAAACTGCCCCAGTCTAAACCAGTCACCTCAATTGGTCCACCAGGCCACTTCAACACCACTATATATAATATCTTTAACGTTTCAACTTCAATAAAGAGGAAACATATGAAGCTAGAAAAAGCCAAAGGTATTGATTGCATAACAAGGCTTTGTTTGCCTATTGCAACAAGCCTATTTCCTCCAAGCCAACATACTAGTCTACTACAAACTGCTTTTTCATCCCTCAAGCGAAATGAATTATGATCTTCATGTAATGCTAGGTATTGTTATTGAGAATGCCTAGGGGAAACTCACAAACATTAGAAGTATAACAAAGATCATCATAACACAACAAAAAGAAATCAAACTTCCATAATCTTCAACACACTAAGGCGAACACCATAAAATAACGGGAAAAAGGAACAGCATCAATAAAGATTTGGAACTGACCCCGAAAAACATGACGAAACTTCCACTCAACATCATGGAGATCCCTAGCAATTAGTTCTTGTGCTGGTGGTTGATGTGAGTAATCCTGCACATCCAGATAAAAGATATATACACCTATATCAAGCAAGAGTCAAGAAAGAAGTTGAAATAACAAAGGTACCAGAGGAGGAAAGACTTTCTCAGCCGCACGACGAGGAACAGAGAACCCTCCATGTGTGCTAGTGTCACTCGCTGTTAATGTCTTGCAAAAATAATTTGAGGGCTGCTTACTTGGTATGCCCAATTCCATAGGAAGAATAGTTTCCTTTTGCTCTTGCTGAATTTACATTTAATCAAACAAAGTTCAACCCAGAAAAGACAAAAGAATACCTGAAAGTAAAGCAAGTCAGAAAAATTAAGAAAAAGTACCAGAGTTAGAGGTTGTAGATTCATTTGAGCATACACTTCATCTGTTTCAACATCTGCCTGAAAATTAACAAATACTCTTAGGTCACTTCAAATTCATATTCTAATTTCTCTCATGAACAGTTAATAGCATTATAATTACTAGGAACATATGATACTCACATGCATTGTGACATTATGAAGTTGGCAAATCAACTGGGGTAGCAAGCTTGGATAGTTAGGTATGTGACCATCAACTTCCCTGTTAGTTGTGGCCGCAACCTATCATCATTATATACAATGAGCTCAGCTTAATTTATGACAAGCACTTGGAATTTTATGCTCACAAATCAACGTTTGCAAGAAAGTTATGCAACTTCTCCAGTACGAATATTAGACAATATTAAACATTAAACAATTCGTAGATAAATGACATGCGTTCAGGTGAGGAGTAAGACACACCTGCTCGCTATGACCCTGAGGAAAGTAAACAACACGAGTACCCGCAGTTGGTAGGGATACCAGGGGTCCAGCACATGCGTGCCACAGCTCCGAATTCAAACACTTCTCCCCTCCTAACACTATGGTCATTATCATATAGAATATTATTCAGAAAATATATATTAAAAAGTCGAAATAAAACATTACAAGGATGTCTAAAGAGATGAAAAAGGAAATGACGGGGACACAAATTTGTTTGACACGTATAATTGAACCCCCAATTAAAAGAAAAATAAAAGAAAAGCAAAAGACAAACCAGGAAGATACCTTCATGTCCGTGCTGGACCAACCCTGATGTTGAAAGCATCATATCAAGCTTCACTTTTGCTTCTATTTTTCTAATAGAATATTTTGTAATCACATTTATGCATAGAACCCTAGCTCAAATCTATTATTTTGAATTAGCTTGAAGCCAATGCATTCCACCATTTTCTCCTCCAACTTGCTCATGAACCCCATGTCCACAGATGAGGAAAAATTCCAACAATCAGCAAAAAACGAAACCCATAAGACCCTGGAAGATCATATCTCGAAATTTCGAACCCAACACTACGAAAAGAACCTACTATCGAACAAAAGACGGGGAATGAGAAGACGCAGAGCAGTGGCAGTTTCAGGCCAGCCCACGAGCCAAAATCGAAACCCAATTCGAGCTAACTTGGGAGCATCGCGGGTTGACGAAGATCTCCATGAAATGAGCAGCACGGAGCAGAAGGGGAAGCGCAAATGAAGAAGCTCAGTGCTCAGGTGGACTGAGTAAAGGCTTACTCCTGTGGCCTATCGCTTTCGATTAAGACCCAGCAGTTATTACAGAAAGGACGAAGACGAAGAGAGAATAAAGTAAAAGACAGTGGTCGCCTCTCCAATAAAGGGTCCTGACTCCCTGACCAAGCTGGACTTGAGCGCGAGAGAGAGAGAGAGAGAGCGCAGCGACTCTGTGAGAGTAATGGGGAGAAGGAATCCACACCGTTGACGAATCCGTACATGTGAATATTTACCGTTCGTTGGGTATAATGCAGGGAGACTGACATTCAAGGCTTCTCCAGGAATTCATAGCCATCACACCGAATGTTGTTGTGCCTGAAAACATGAATACGTTGTTATTAAAATTATTACAAGTTGAAGTTTAACTTATTAAATTTTTAAAAAAATATATAAATTAAGATTTAGGTTTTAACAATAATAATAATTTATATATTTTTTTTATAAAATAATATTTGATAAAAAGGGATGAAAACTTAAATGAATTAAAAAAATATATAATATTTTTAATTAAATCTTAACCTACTAAAATAGTCATTTATTTTTAAATTAATATCATCTTTTTATATTTATACCTATTTAATATATATTTTATTATAAAATAAATATAAAATAATTTATTTATTAAAGACATTTAAAAAACGTAATTTTTATATATTAAAATATTAAAAATACATTTTATTTTTTATTATTTAATTTTTTTATATTTTTAAATGAAAAAAATAAATGCCATTCTCCTGTAATGTAACTGCGGGTATGTGCCACCATCCTTCAGTGGTCCTTGTCAGAGTACGGTGTAGTGCGCTAAAACCCTTATAAAATAGCCAAAGCTTTATTGGCTTAGTGGCATCGAGCTCGCCTGGCGGTAACCGATCGCGGGCTTGATCCCGTTGCTCTCCCGCACCTCCAGCATGGGCTTACCAATTGAAAAAAAAATATATATAAAATAATATAATATGATATAATAAATCAAATTAAATATTAAATAAATCAAATTAAGTATTAAATACTCTTTTTTTTTTTGTACACAAGGGGCAAAGCCCAAACAAAATTACACTGAAACTAACCATGGGCAAGTCAAGCTAAGTCTGTTCCTATATAGTACATCAAGTAAACTTTTAGGAGGCTCACTCAAAACCTATAGTCCACATTCATGTGATAAACTTCAATTAGCCAAACAATCAACACTAACATTTCCTTCCATATAAGTATGATCCATGCTTATATTCCAGCTAGCATCAAGCATGGTATGGATTTGATGAGGAAATTGATTCTTCACACAAGAACATGATAACAATTGTTTCAGCACTTGTAGTGCAATAGAGTCAGGTTCAAGTGTAACCTTCCTCATACCCAATCTTTGTAACGTGAGGAACCAAGACCATAATCCCCATAATTTCACCTCCAAAGCTGTACACCTACCTACTCTATTAACAAAACCTCCTTTCCGGTCACCATTATAATTCTTTATGACTCCTCCACAACTAGCGTCACCAAGCCATCCCTTAACAGCACCATCAATATTGAGCTTGAACCAACCCTCATCAAGCAGCCACCACTGAATATCCTCCCAATGCTTAAGACAAATATTGTCATCCACATCATAAGCCTTCTTAATCTTATCAACTTATTGCAAAATACTCATAGCAAAAATCTTGAAGGAATCAACGTTAGGATCAAATATCATTTTATGTCGCTAAGACCACATGAACCACACAGCCACCCCAAATATCAAATGCCAATTACACCTGTCCCACCTTGAACTACCTCGTAAATTCTTTTGAAACCAGTCATGTAAATTTAAACAAAAAAAATCAGAAGAATGCATACCTCTTATCAGCTACTCCTACATACTACACGCATAAGAACAATCCCTCAACGCATGAAAATAGGACTCCTTATCCAATCTACACCTGCAGCAAACAGACAACCTATCAACATCTTTAAACCTTCTAACAGATGTTAGTAATCTATCAAAAGCAGCCAACCATAAGAACATTTGAATACGCCTCGGACCTTTCCAAGACCAAATTATCTTCCAAAAGTTGTTGTTGTCTTGTTGATCAAACCCACTTAGTTGCTTGTACATTATAGTAACACTAAAATCATCAGAACTACCACCTAACCAACGAATTATATCTTCCCCCACAAACTCACAAGGAGGCAGCGTAGCTTGAATCTAGCTTACTATATCCTCAAGTAACCAATACTTTAATTCCTTTAATCTCCAATCACCCCTCTCATCCACATAATCCCTTACACGCTTCCATGATTCATAAGGTCCAAGAACCACTAAGCATTGGTATACTAAAATTGCATCGTTAGATACCCACCTATCAACCCAGAAGTTCACTCTACTCCTATTATTTGTAACACCCTCAAATTTACAAACCGATTTTTCGCAAATTATTAATTCAACAAATCTTTTTTTTTACTTTCTTTTTTTTTCATTGAACCCTTATCATACCCATACCCTTATCATGGTAGAAAAATTTCTACCATGGTACATCCAAAACAATATACCACAGGTCTTAAAATATCTCAAAAAAACAATTAGAACCATGAGGGACAGACAGGATCCTCATAGCATGATATTTAAATCAGGTCATGAATCAAGAGGGACAAACATAATCCTCTTGGTCAAATAAATACTTTTAATAAAAAGGATTAAAGTTTACATGCTTCACAAAGAAGATATGTCCTAAGTTGGCACAAGATACATTGTATAATCCAAAATAAGAGGCAACGTAAAAGATGGTGTCTCATACACCATAATTACACCTCTGGTGCTTTCTCGGCCGGACTCGCTCCTGTAAAAATATTAACCACGGGGAATGAGACTTAAAAGTCCCAGTAACCAAAAATTAATATGTAATGATGTATGCGGATGTAACTAATCATGCGATTGCTAAGTGGGCACACAAAACATTTAACCGAACAATATTTTCAAACAAACCGAACAAGTATTTAATTTGCATGACTACACCTTATATCCTCCTTTCGCCATACTCGGATGCCAAATCACCCGGCCAAAGGTTAGTTGGACCAAGCGACACGCCACTCATTGGGTCCAATGAGGGCTTACCACGTGGTAATAATTAACTGAACAGAAATTTCCATTAACACCATACATTAAAATACCCTGACAAGTCATGCATCATTCAAATATCCAAACAGAAATATATCCTATTGTGGGGCCTGGGGGGAGAGTGTCCAGCACCTCGGGTAACGGTGAGATACCGAGGAGGGCTGTTACACTAAACATGGTTCAATGGTACTAGATTCAGCCTCAACTTTGTTATGTAGGAAAGGTTGGAGGATCAAACCTGGGGAGGCTCTCCGCAAGGGGAATAATCCTGCATACTACTGCGGGGAAGCCTTTGTCTCCTGATACTCACCGTAAGGGGTGGGGTTGCCCTATTGTGGGGCTTGGGGGAGAGTGTCCAGTGCCTCGGATGACGGTGAGATCCCGAGGAGGGCTGTTACACAAATAAAGTCCTGTTGCATTCTTTCCAAGTCCTTACATACTCATACAAGTAAAATATCATGTTGCATAGTAAAAAAAGGAACATGTTGTACAACTAATTGAAATAATGTTAGCCGCCCAGTAAAAGACAAACTTTGTGCCTTCCACCTACTCAATTTCTTTTGTACCTTAACCAGTAAAAATTGATATTGACCTCTAGTTCATCGATCATGATTTATATAAGAACCTAAGTAACGGCCCAACTCTGTAACTGGTTGAAAGCCACAACAGCTTACCAATTCCTCACGTTTTGCCTCTAAAACATTTTTCAAAAATGCCACAACTGTCTTTTATGGATTTATCTTTTGACCAAAGATCTCACCAAACTTTTCCAAACACTATAGCATAACTTCCAATTGCTCTACCTTTGCCTCACAAAATGATAATAAATTATCAACAAAAAGCAAATATGATATTAGTGTCCCATTCCTCCCTAATTTTATATGTGTCTATATGCTTACATCAATTTCATCAGTAATCATATGATATAATTTCTCCATGCCCAAAACAAATAAATATGGAGGCAAAGGGTCCCCTTGCCTTAATCCTCTAGAAGGTTTAAAAATATCTGACTTTGCACCATTCCAAAGTAACTACATAAAAGTATTCTCAAAACAATTTGTAGCAATCTCCACAATCTCCCTTGGCAAACCCAGTTCCTCTAATACATTTCGCAAGAAACTCCAATTCATGCGATTATAAGCCTTCTCAAGGTCAATTTTAATAGTCATAATGCCTTTATCCCTTATCATTCGTAACATAAAATGAGAAATCTCTCTTGTTATAACAATATTCTCCTGTATGCATCTTCCAGAAACTAAACTAGTTTGAAAAGGAGATACCCACTTATTCATCAACGGCTTTAATCTACTTACAATAATCTTTGAAACCCCTTTATAAATGACATTACAAAGAGATATGGGCTAAAGTTGACTAACCACCTTAATTTTATCCACCTTTGGCACAAATGCACGCAAAGTTTGATTAATTTCAGCTAAGCATTGCAGATTATTCCACATGTGCATAATCAAATTTGTAACAGTACGTCCCATTACATCCCAATTTTTATGAAAGAAAATTGATGGGAAGCCATCCTTGCTAGGAGATTTAAAAGTTCCAATACTAAAAATAGCCTGATAAATCTCCTCTTTACTGATAGCTTTACCCAACATATAGATCTCAGCAGTATCAACTCCCCCCCATTTATGTCATGTATTAATCCATCATCTATCAGCAACATCCTTATGAAATATATTAACATAGAAATTTTTCACCATCCATATTAATTCATCATCATTCTCAATCCATATACCATTATCATTCCTTAACATGTGAATTTTATTTCTTCATCTCCTACTAATAACCTTTAAATGATAAAACTTAGTGTTGTGGTCACCACTTCTTATCCATTTACCCTTAGCTTTTTAGTACCAATGAATTTCTTCTTGATGAAGTAATTGTCGTAATTTGTCATTCAGTTTAACCTCAAGGTTCTCTAGAAACGGGTTTGAAGTACCATTCAACTTTCATTGAATTCCTACAATTCTTGCCAGTAGTTCCTTCTTCCTCCGTTCAAGCCAGCCAAAGACCTCCCAGTTCCACTTCCTTAATGGTTTTTTAAAACAAGTTAGAGCCACATTAGCCTCCACATCCCGACACCAATTTCCATGCAAAAACTCCTTAAAATCTCTATGACTTAACCACATGGCTCCAAACCAAAAAGGCCGAGCATTTCT